GGGGGAAGCGGGTGATGGTGACGGGGGCCAGCAGTGGCATCGGGGAGCAGATGGCGTATCACCTGGCGCGGATGGAGGCCCACCTCCTGCTCACGGCGCGGACCGAGGCCAAGCTGCAGAAAGTAAATGGCAAGCAGAGCGTGCCGGGCCGGCCAAACACATTTGCAGTCCGGAACGCAGACGTTCACCCTGCCTGGGCAGGCGGGGATGGCAGATACCCTACAGACCCACCCCAGCACGAGCCTGTTCTGACACACACCCCCACCCCAGCAAACCGCGCTTTCGACGCTGACAGCACGGAGATCCTTTCTCCGCAGTCTTCAGCTGCGGGTTCCGATCTCCACCACCAAGGACAACACTAGCGTGCCCAAGTCCTGGTCTGATCAACCCTCGCCCCTTCTCGACGTCTGAGCTGTTCTTACATCCCATACACAACAGAATCAAAATTAAGCATCCATATCCCTATTTGTAAATACCAAACATTTGGCTCAGACGTGCCACTGCGTAACTCTGCAGCCAGAAACGTTTCTGAGCAACACCTCTCCTCCCATGAAGGGAGAAGGGTTTCCAGTGGGACACGGCGATGCGCTGCCCGTCCTCCCCACAGCAGCAACAGCCTCTGTGGGGGGGTCTGTGGAGGGGGGGGGTCTGTCGCCAACACCATTCTCGCTGTCTCTGCAGGTTGTGGAGCGGTGCCTCGAGCTGGGCGCCGCGTCTGCCCGCTACGTGAGCGGCTCCATGGAGGACACCTCGTTCCCCGAGGTGGTGGTGAAGGAGGCTGAGAACACCTGGGGTAGGTGGTGAGGAGCTGCCCCTCCTCGCTCCCCACGCGACATTTCGGGGCCACCCCAGCCACCGCGAGGCTGCTTTGTTTTGAGATGCCGGTTGCTAACAGCAAACGTGCTCTGCTTCCAGGCGGCCTCGATATGCTCATCCTAAATCACATCAGTTACAGCCACTTCACCTACTTCAACGGGGACGTTGAGCACGTTCGAAAGCTCCTGGAGACCAACTTCCTCAGCTACGTGGCGATGACCGTGGCTGCGCTGCCCATGCTGAAGGAGAGCGAGGGCAGCATCGTGGTGGTTTCATCCGTGGCAGGTGAGCACACGAGAGGCCAGGCTCTCCCCACCCACGTCCCTTCCTCTGCCTGCAAGGGATCCCTGCTGCAGCTCTGCTTCAAAGGACAGAACAAGCACCATAAGGCAGAGAGCCACCCCGCTGGGGGTCGGGATCAGCATGTGTGTTCCATCCTGGGCGCACAGTTCAGGTGCTCTGGGGGGATTTACACCCTGTGCCCTGTCCTTGCCAGTCTCTTTGCACCCACGAGTCACCTCCGTGCATCGCGGCCGGCGGTACGCCGCTGCAGGTGACTTTACGTGCATGGCCACCTAATACGCGTGCATTTGGTACACACGGGCATACGTGCAGGGCTACAGGAACAGCAGCACCCACAACTGACGGTACTTCATGCCATTCTATGCCATCTGTTACATTTTCAGCATTCTATTTCTCTCAAGCATCCATGGCATTAGTCAGCCACCCTAAATCACATTATTGTAGCTACTTGAAGGGTGAGAGAAAGGGAAAGCCATGCAGCCTGGTGTCCGCCCGGCACACGAACCCTGACGTGGTGTCTCTGCTCCAGGTAAAACTGGCATCCCATTTGTAGCTCCCTATTCTGCAACTAAGTTCGCCTTAGATGGATTTTTCAGCTCCTTGCGACAGGAATTCATCATAGACAAGGTCAATGTCTCCATCACGCTCTGCGTCCTGGGCTACATCAACACAGGTAAGCTCAGCATCACTGGGGCCCCGCGACGCAGTGCATTTCCAGACGGAGCCAAGCCGAGCCCACCACCCGCCCGCCGGCCCCGGCTGCCCAGCCCGCTGCCTGGCCGCTTCCGGACCCTCAGCCTGCAGCGGCTGTGCAAGCGTGGAAACGGGACCCCAAAGCACCTTGGACTCTGCTATCCTTGCAGTAAACCCAGGGGAGGTGGGGATTCCATCCTAAGGTCACTCAAGAGGTGGGAAGGAATGGGAAGGACATTGGCATAATTGTCATTCATTTTAACTGTTCTAAGTCTTGTTAAGCAGGTCTGATCCCCAGGGTCTGCGGGTTTGTCAGAGGAAACTGCAGACACCTTGACGGAGCTGGGGGGGGGACACAGCCCCTCCATCCGACACCATCCCTTCCCTCCCTGTCCTCCCGTCCCTCCAGAGAGTGCAGTGCAGATGGTTTCGCACGTCATCCAGGACACGCCGGCGCCGAAGGAGGAGTGCGCGCTGGAGATCATCAGGAGCGGGGCGCTGCGCCAGCGGGAGCTGTACTACCCGTCCTGGACGGTGCGCAGCCTGCTCCTTCTCCACGGCATAGCCCCCGACTTCCTCGACTCCCTCATCAGGAGCAGCTATAAGGTGGAAAACGTCAGAAGAACATAGCAGGGAGTGCACCTGGACACCTTGGGCCAGGCACGGGGAATCTGGGTGTTAATGCAGCTGCTCTGGTGCCCCTTTTCCATGCCACCAAGGCAGCCCCATGCTGATGCGCCCTGGCAACCCGAGACGGGATGCACCAGAAGCCTACACCACACAGCATGAAAATGTCCTTTTTAGTACTGAACTCTTGCAGCTGGCTTTTTCTGACCAAGAGGCACTTCAGAGAAGCTTCTGGCAGCAGGAGCTGCTGCCAGCATCCTGCTCAGCAGGAGGTTTCCTGCTCAACCTCCAGAAACTGTCCCCCGTCCCCCCCCCAAAGCCACATGGGCAGCGGTGCTGAGCGCTGCGGGGAGCGCACTGAGCCACGGCCCAGGATGAGGACCTGGACCAAGCAGCACAAGCCACCCAAAGCCACGAGAGGGTCTTTGAACCGGGACATTTTTTTGTCATGTATCCCTTCTAGGCTGGTGTTCATAAAAATAAACCCTCCGTTGCTTTACGAGACCTGTTTGTACTGGTGTTCCTCTTCCACGTGCGCAGGCACAGAGCCCTCAGCGGCACCCAGCTGGTTAAACCGACCTCCCTGCATGATTTGCATTAACGCAGCTTTCACTTCTCTAAAGACCTTAATGATTTTCTGCCATTGTGACCTCTCCTCAGCTGCCGATACACACTTTTTTTCCTTTCCAATCTGCAAGAAGCCGTAAAATAATAGCATTACTGAACTTCCCTAAGTCTGGATTTCTCTACCCCAAACCGACTCGGGGAGACTCAGTCACTGAGTGCCAGAAGCAGCTCCGTGAACGAGTGCTCAACCTCCGCGTGTCGGAGACTGATAAAGGGAGATGCCCCAAAAGATAATTGCTAGCTCTGCTTAGAGAGAAGCTGGAGACTTTGGGGTCCCAAGATAACCCAAATCCCGCTGCGAGCCGGGCCCCTGCGCCCCGCAGCCCGGCTGCGAGCAGAGACAGGAACCGGGGCTCGGCTGCGGCCGCAACGTTTCCTGTTTTACAGAGCACGAAAAAGAGCGAGAGCAGCAACATGAGGTGGTTGGCACCAAGATGGCAGTTGGAGCGTGTTTGAGCCCGATAACCCCTGGCTCGCCCTGCTCCTCCGCGGCGGTCGAGGGGTTCGACGGGACCCCCCAGGCCAGGTAAGCGCCTGGGCACCGGGGCCAGCGAGGGATGGAGGGGAGCGGAGGCTGCCGCGCTAACAGCAGCGGCGTGCACCTTTTTTCCTCTTTTTTCACCCCGCTTTCAGCCTACTTGATTGACACTGGGAGGCTGTAACATGAACCAGCAAAAAGCACTATTTTTTTTCTGTTTCCCTTGAAGCGAGAAGTGTAACGGCTTGGAAAGCAAAGATAAAGGACACGTTTGTTAATTAGAGAGGGTAAGTTGGGGTAACAGGAGGAGGAAATAGAGTATTAGCTTGTCAAGAAGGCCTCAACAGTTTGCCCAGCTTGGGGTGAGTAATGGACTGTCTATTTCTTTACCTCGCTTTAAGGCGCGTTTGTGGTTAACTGAGGCTGTTACAGGAGCTGCTGTGGGATGGACAGTGACAGGCTGGGCAGCCCGACGGGAGAGGGGCTGAGCCATCCCCGGGAAGAGCTGGATGAGCGGGGTCCGAGCAGGACACCCGCAGTCCAGATTCAACGTGCAATTGGGGCATTTCTAAAATCAAGAAAAAATTAGTTGAAAGATGCTTTTAAAGCCTCCTGAAGCCTTCGCAGCGGTTTGGCTGTAGACAGACACTCTGTCCCAAGCTCTGGAGCTCGTACCCAGCCCATCGCGGGGTGCTGGTGTGCGCCCAGCTTGCAGTTGTGTGTGTGAAGCTGTTGGCCAGACCTCGCCGTGCCTGCCGGGCCAAGGAAGGCGAGCTGCACCAAGAGGAACGGCCCGGGGTGAGCACAGCGGGGTTGTTCTGCTACGGACGTGAAAGCTGCGTGCGAATAACCTGCTTTTATAGCCTTTTATACACCCCAACTCCTCCAGCAGGAAGCGTATCACAATAAGAAACACCTAAATAGTGAAATACGGTTGGGATCCTTCAGTAAATTTAGGCTAAAACTAGCGAGTTTTCAGAAGCTATTCGAAGAAGAGAATATTCCAACAAAAGTGAATAAAAGCACATAAGCAAGGGCCATGCTTCGGGGTCTCGACGGCCACATCTCATGCGGGCTCAGCGCTGGGAGCAGTGTCCCGGCTGCGGGCTTGCAGGCACCTTCCCAAGGAAGGCTCTGCAGTGAGGAGACAGCCCTAGGAACGGGCTGTGAGTACACCACAGCCAGCCCAAGGACAAGAACAAGAATTACGGAGCAGACTTTAATGCAGACTGAAAGGCACGGAAGTATTATGTATGTAAATGGGGTTTACTTGTTCCCATTTTTTTTTCCATTAGACTCAACAACTTCCTAATTGCT